GACTTGTAGATTCTGGTGAGAGATTTTAATTGATACATTTAAATACATTTAAATACATTACAAACAAAAAAAAAAATATTTATTAACTTAATTAAGAACTAACGATACGGGTTTAATTGGTTTTAAATTTCATATATAGAAATTAATAATCGGACAATGGTGAAAAAGGGATCATTCTGATATTAAAATATAATTATTAACAGTGCATTGCTTTTTGACTCAGTGAAGACTCGGTTTTTTCCATTGTCAATACAAATATTTCGGTAAATTAAAATGTTTATGTTTGTTTTTCATTTTCCCCCACATTCTTCTAATTTATGGTTTGTCTTTTTAGCATAACAGCTTTACCATTTATAGTTGAATAAAAAAAAATATACTGTAATTAATTATGTAGTGATATCATTTTATCAAATATCACAACCCCCAGAATATGAAATTTTTTTTTAGAGGTACTGAATTTTCTTCCAAGCGACTTAAACCATTATGAAGGCTAAAGCTGTTAAAAATTTATCAATATTTTTGTTTAGATTTCCTTTCGAGACATTCCTTCCAAACTGATAAAAGATTATCGCGGAAATCATTTTCCAAAAATTAGTATACCCGTAAATATATAAGAATGTTATTTATTTTAAGATATTGCTATATTTCATCACTTTTATTTTAAAATTGAAATATATATATACTGTATATACACAAATAAATAATATACAGTAATATACACTACTGCTAACTGAAATTACTTTAAGATATAGAATTATAAACACTAACGAAATCTGCGAAGACGATGTCCTCACGATGAAATCCGAAATTTCTTTAAAAATGAACGAAACAGTTTGAAAATAATCTTAAACAACATACGTAAGACGGACATTTATTACATACTCCAGTTACTCCACGATAGTGGGAAATTTATTTCCGTATTAATAAAACAACGGCTCGGGTTTTACCGTCGATCGACTCGATCGTGACTAAGCGTTGTGCACGTGTTCAGGAGTTGGATATACAATGTACACCCGTTTATTGGGGTAACATATTTTGTATAAATAAGATAAATAATTCTCTATTACTAAATGCTAATCTGAATAATAAACATAGCATTCGCAATTTATGGACCATGTTTTTTTAGAAAGCTAATAGCAATGCTATTAAATTTGTAGGTAAATACGATAAATTTTCATCATTTCATTATTTTTCTTGTGGGAATAGCAGATGTGATCATGTTCTGATTCACGAGAGTGACGAGACTTATCTGCACATGGTTTCGCGGATTCGAGTAAAGCGTGAGTAATTTTTAGCATACTATATACATGTATATATATGTATAGTAACTACTCATAATAATAAATTTATTAAAATGTAGAAATTTAACACTTGGGGACTGGTCCAGCAAAACAAGGGGTTGGGTCCAAAAAATTTTTTTTTGAAATTTTATTATATTTGTAATTTTTAGTGGAATTGACATATAATTGTCATATAAACTTAAAAAGTTTTTTTTAAGACCAAACCCCTTGTTTTGCTAGACCAGTCCCCACTTGCGTTCAATATTTTAACTCAAAGTCGAAGTCGAGTTAAAGCTCTTTTATCAATCATATTCGTTAACTAATGTGCTTCATGAAGTATTATTTCTTTAACGTTTACCTATCTAAGATGCAATTATTTTTGCAAAAATCACGATTGAGGGGGTAAGATTTTATTTGTTAATTAATAGAACATTTTTTGTAACGTATAATAAACACCACAAAAAATTTTTAGAAAATTGCATATCGGAGTTTTTTTTGGAATGAAAACTAAAAAAATGATCATTTATCGGAATTTTCCCTATTATTTTTGTGTTAAAATACTTTGTAAATGAATTCAAAATTAATCGCATTTATTTATTAAATGAAAATAACATTATGCATAGATTCGTCTACTTATAAACTATTACTAAATTTAGCTTAGAAATTACTTATTTGTATTTACCAAATTAATTTTTACCGTACGAACTTCAATACTAAAACATATTTCGTGTTACTGTTTGCATTTGGATATTTTTGGAGTTTATAATTGTCTAATATCTGTTAGAACTCTTAAGAATTGTTCTTTTTTACTTTGTCTATCTCGAAATTATTTATGCCAGTTCGTCTTAAACCCTATAAAAAATTTTTTAGAAAATTGATCCATGTTTGGAATAAAAACTAGTTTTTCTAGGGCTTCGATCCGTTATCCGAATTAGAATCGGGATTGAAATCCTAAATTATTTAATAATTATATTATATATTATATAAAGTTTTTTTTTTATTCTTTTAATAATATTAGTATGCAATATAAATTTATTACACTTATATTTCTAATACGCTTCATCTTCTAAGTTATTCCAATCTGGCGCGAAAACTTCCATAACTTTCATATTTCGTTTTAAAAAGTGCATTTTAGTCACTATTCCCTTTCATCCAAGAATGTACGTATGCATAGTTCTCCATTAACATCAAAACATTTTATGTGCGATACTTGTATATTTTCTTTTAGCACTGCCCTCTTTTATAAATATTAATTAAAAAAAGATAAATTTTTATTCTTTTTAATAAAAAGAATTATTTTACAACCTTTTCTTCTAATTTCATGGGCAGTAGTCGCTAAATTTGTAATTCTTTGAACTTAAAGGGCTTTGTAAACTTTTATTAGGAAATTCTTCATTATCCAAATCAATTTCAATATTATTATTTTCTATTGTTTACAATAACTTAAGTGAGACGTAAAGAATTTTGTTTACAAGTAAAAAGTGATTATTAAACTATTTATATACTAATCCGGATTACACAATCCGTCGTAAGGATCATCCTAATTAAAGCTCGGATAACGGATTTATCCGGATAGCTTAAAAAAGGATCGAAACCTTAGACTTTTTTCCAAAAAATTTTTTATAGGGAAAGTTGCATAGTTTCATTAAACTTGAATGCTGTCCTTTAGTTAGACGCTCTTTATGACAAATTTTGATATTAATGAATTATTTAATACAACGGATTTTTCTGTTTATCATATGGTATAAAGAAGAAATCACAATGAAATAATAAAATTTTGCAAAATTTGTCTTGAAATTTGGATGATGACAAATATTATCTATCGGCTGCTGAAAGATAAAATGTTCAACAGTTTAATTCTTATTTATATTCAAAATTTTATTCACAAATAACAAATCCTTCTTTTATAAGTTGCATATGATCCGCTTATAACCCAATTTTTTAATGGGTCTTTCCTTCGTTTAAATACAGTATATAATGGATAAAAATGATACTACTTCCGTTAACGACAATGTCGCTTGAATATTTCAATATTTTTGAGTACGATTTTTACTTCCAACAAATCGGAATAGATCAATTTTACCGATATATTTAAAATTAATTTACCAAAAAAAAAAATTTCAAATTTGGGAAAGCGCCTAAATTACCATTAATTATTTTAGGAAAAATAATTAATTTATGTGAAAATATTTTGGTTATTAAAAGTATTTTATTTATTTATAATACAATGTTACAATGTTTTACATACTGTTTTACAATTGAAACCTCGATTTTTGATTTCTAGTCACGTGACTTAGATTTTTCCAGAAAATTTTGGGTCTGGGTCATTTCACCGACACATGCACGTACACGTGACCATCACGGGGTGAAAAAATGTCGGTGAAACGTCTGTCGGTGAAATGAACGGTTCCCGAAAATTTGAAACAATTTTGAGTATAGATTTCCGGCACCATATTATAACTAATAGATAATACAAACATGACACTTCATAATTTATGCTTAAATTTTAATTTTTACATAATTATCAATTTATTTACTATAAAATATTCGATGTAAAATATTCATATATATATGATACAAGAAAATTATACCGAATTTTTCCAGAAAAGAGCAAGTGATAATTACAATTTTCTCGTAAGCATTCCACTCTTCTGTTATGTTTACATGTGGTTCATTTATTCGTATTGATATAAGAAGAAAGACGAAGTTCGCGAGAGGAAAAGGTAATATAATTACTTGTTTTAAATATCACGTATATCACGTATATCACATATGTGAAATGATTAGTATCCCTCTCCCTTATAGTATCTCTACTGCATTTGAAATTCACTCATTGTCTAAATCAAGTCCAGATTTTTTTCCAGAAGCTATACGGTACTGAAATCAATCAAATAGTATGTATGTATACATACTTTTTTTTTTTTTTTATAAACTATTTTAAATAACTATGCCGATCGGGTCTGATTGTTATGTTTCCTTTTTTTGTTAACATTCAAAATTCATCTTCAATGATCATTCATGGGGAATCATGGCTATCATCTAATCAGTTTTTTTAATTATAAAAAGGCACTACATTTTTTACCGGAAAAATTAACTATCAATACTATTCAGTAAATAAATAAATAAATAAAAATGCCCTATCAATTTATTTCAAGAGAAACAAAAGGTTGTCCGGACTGTAAAAAACCTTGGATCTCTTTTAGATGGTGTAAAGATTGCGAAACCAATTCTATGAAGGGAAACTTTGATTATTGGACATCAGGAAATAAAGAGATTGATGAGCTGATCCGTCATACTCAATTAAGTACCTCCCAAGCCTGTGATTACTTAGAATGGTTCCCATTTGATAATTTTGAATTTGTTAAATATAATGGGAGTGGTGAATTTAATAGTATTTATTCTGCTATTTGGATGGAAGGACCGAGGTCTAATTGGAATAATACATTTAAAGAATGGACTCGAACTGGTCCAATCAAAGTTGCATTGAAACGCCTCGGTAATTCATTAAACATGTCGAGTTCTTACGTTGATCGGGTAATTATACTTATGTTAAATGATTCTTATTTTTATAGTAAAATAATATCTTACTACAATTAAATTTTGGCGTCATTTATTTTTTTATATTCCCTATAATAGATCAAAATGTTTCATAAATATATTAAGTCAGCTTCATTGGCTGAAACGTTTGGAATTACAAGAGATCCAACATCAAATTATATGATCGTTATGAAATATTATGAAAATGGTAACTTGTACCAATACCTTGATCGTCACGGTGGAGTTCTTTCTTGGAAAGTTATAATAGATTTGTTACGAGAAATCACCAGTAGACTTGAAAAAATTCATTTTGAAAACAAAATTCATGGAAATCTTCATGGAGGAAATTTACTTGTTGAGGATGAAATGATCGTTCGTATTGGTGACTTGGGCATTTATGGGCCAAGTTATATTAATTTTGAAAATAGAAATTTAAATCAAATTTATGGAGTTTTGCCATATATTGCACCGGAAATGTTACGTGGAGAAAACATTACTATTGCTTCTGATATATATTCGTTTGGTATTATCATGTATACTTTTGCAGCCGGAAAAAGACCTTGGTATAATAGAGCACATAATATTAGTTTAGCAAAAGATATTTGTGATGGTAAAAGGCTTGAAATTCCGGGGGATACACCAGATTTTTACGCCAAATTAATGAAACAATGTTGGGATAACGATCCAGATAAACGTCCAAATGCAACTGAGTTATATGGCGGGCTAAACTGGATCAATTTAATTCGTCATAATCCAAGTCCATTTGATGATAATTATTACATTTCTGAAGAAAACAGATGTAAATCGTTCAAACCATATACTCATCCAGAAATACATCCCGAAGCATATTATACAAGTAAATTTTTTCATTTTCCTGAATTAATCAAACATGATCACTGATTTTACATAGAATTTTTGAAATAATTATTTTTGGAATTTTAACTGTTGATATATTTAGTTTTGAGTAATATTTATTATTATTATTATTAAATTAATATTATTATGGGGAAGGCGCTACCGCTAGATACAACACTAATACATACTGAACTAGACTAGTTGATTTTATATAATTTGTCACAATGGATATAGACGACATAGACGGAATTCAATTTAACGAACTCCGGTCTAATATAAGGGCAGACATATATTACGTAATATCTTACGAAATGTGTACCGTATGATTTTTCCCAACATATGCAGTCAAAGCAAGCAAATTTACTAAAATTTTACTAATTAAACCTCTTCAACCATTTTTTGTGTGTATGCGGTGCGGTGTATGTGATTAATAATTAATTTTCTTAATTCAGTCTGTATATACAGTATATATATATAATATATTTTTTTTTTCCATTTTTACTTTAAAAATTGTATCGGCGGTGTGAATATTAATTAATAAATTTACTTAGCGAAAAAAAATTATATTTTTTTTTTTTTTTGTCAATAATCTCTAATAATAAAAATTTTAATTTTATAAACGATTCTAAAAAATTTTCACAAATTTTTAAATTTTGAAGTTAAAAAATTTTTATTATGCATTTATTATGAATTTTAAAAAAAAATTATTTTTATTACGTTGAGAAAATTAAAAATTTCGTTTCGTTTCACCAATTTTTTTAAAAAGTAATTTTTTTTCAAAAACAAAAGATAATAAATGTAAATTTTTTTGTTGATCATTTTTTAGAGCGAAAGGTCACTAAAGGTTCACCGATTTTAAAAAAAAGTTTTTTTGTCAATCTTTTTTTTAAAAAAAAATTACTTTTTTTGGGAAACATATTCCCTGCTATGTTTAGTTTCACATAATAACATAACATTTATAAACATGGTTAAAATTTTATGAATTTTTTTTTATTTTATTACTTTTTAGGCAACCAACTTTTTTCAAGAAAAAACAGGCAATAATCTATAAGTTGTATTATTGATTTTTTTTTTTTTTTAAAAAAAAAAAAAAAAAAAT